GAAGGTCATTCATTTGAACAAACTTTGTAGCCCTTCATCTCAGCATGCTACTGGCCAAATATCATCACCCTGGGCATTTTGGTTATTCAGAAGAAGTTATTTAAAGGTTTTTTAAGACAATTGACCCCTGTGACCTTGAATATAATTGAAGGTCATTCATTTGAACAAACTTGGTAGCCCTTCACCCTAGCATGCTACTGACCAAATATCATCTCCCTGGGCAGTTTGGTTATTGAGAAGAAGTTGTTTAAAGTTTTTAACATATTTGACCCCTGTGACCTTGAAAATAGATGAAGGTCATTTATTTGAACAAACTTGGTAGCCATTCATCCCAGTTTACTTCTGGCCAAATATCATCACCCTAGGCCTTTCGGTTATTAAGAAGAAGTCGTTTAAAGTTAAATATTGACGACAGACGACGGACAGACGGAGGGACGGACGGCGGACGTCGCACCACGGCATAAGAGCTAATAAACTACCAAATTTAACTACTGCACATTTCAGCAGAAAAAAGGCTATAAAAAGATGTTCTAAATGATAATTTGATAGAAAAAGTAAAACAAAAAAAAATCTTATTTTTTTGGCGCTTCAAATTGTGCCCTTTACAGAACTCCGGAAGTTTCAAAACTTTTAGGCAAAACTTAAAAGATATTTCTTTATTTTGCTAATGCTATATTGATCGAAGTATTTCTGTATTAGACATTAGCTAGCAGTGTCAGAACAGTCAATTAAAGATTTTTGTCTACTCAAGTTGTCACAGAAATGGCTGTTACAGGAATATGGTTGGCCTTGTCCTAAGGTTGACCTTTACCCTATTGGCTCCATCAGTTATGTTTGACCACTGACCATGCAGTGTCCAATAGGGGAAACACGTTTAATGGTTTCATTTTATGGTTATTTTAATGGTGTAATCTAGCCAAGGGGTATTCAAGAGGGTCGACTAAACTACACGTAAATGTAACATGAGACTATCTCGAGGGACGGCTTCCTTCCCATTGTGATGGTCAGTGCTGTAAAGACCAAACATTGTTTGTAGGAGGGATGGCTTCCTTCCCATTGTGATGGTCAGTGCTTTAAAGACCAAACTTTGTTTGTATGATGATTGGCTTCCTTCCCATTGTGATGGTCAGTGCTGTAAAGACCAAACTTTGTTTGTACGGGGGTTTAACAACCTCACTACAGCTGAGGTCATACAAAGACAGGATGAAGATTAATTCCTAAAGGTTTATAGAAGTGATTGATAGAAATGGTCTGAACACAACACAAAGATCATACAGATTCAAGTGTTAGAAGTAAAACAGAAGGGCAAAATGGAGGCTTCAATAAGTTTATCTAACTGAAAGTTGGTTAATTCCGAAACCTGATTAAACCAGACCTTCAACTACATCATACAGTTTCATTTCTATATAAATTGAACCTTTGCAATTAGATTGACTTCCTACATACAAATAATAAAAATATTAATCCTCCTGGTTTTTTTTGTTTAGACAGATTATACATGTACAGATACTAATTGTGAAAAAAAAGGTATTTGATGAAAGTGCGTGAATGAAGTATCTGATAATTAGTACTAACAAAAAATCCCTCTCAATTATTCATTCGATAAAAGCGGAAAAATGGTCTTACTTTTTTGCCAAATGTGCTTTGATAATATTATTAAAGATTATTCGCATTGTATTGTTCAATGTAAGGTGGGCTTTAAGTGTGTAAGACAAAGAAAGCCTTGGACTTTTGACACTTAATGGAGCTGGCTCAAACTAGATGGATATGCATACATGTATATATGATATCAGCTTTTTTGAAACATGAATATTCTGCAGGCAAGTATTTTGCTGTACTGGTAATTCTAGGTACAGGCATCGGTTTACCTGGTGGTGATGGCAAATTCTAATATCAAGGAATTCCCCTCTTATTAGTTAAAATATGATTCAACTAGTGACAACGTAATTTCTTCAGACTATACATAGTTCCTGCTGATTGCAAATATGGTTTCCTCTCCTAATATATTACCATATATATATATACCAAGCGGCTACATCCCCAGGCCAAGTCATACAGGTAATATGCTTATAAGGTTCAAACAAGTTGATAAATGAATTTACACATTGTCTGCTAAAGGTACGACGTGGTACGGTCTGCGCCAGTGTTTTGCGTTAATTTGGTCCAAATTTATTTCCTATCTAATTTCACATTGTTTCAAGATTTTTTTGTGTCACATCAACCTTGCTTAATATGTGACTTATACAACTATCTGTAAGTCACATGCCTATATCCATGTGAATGATACAAAGAATATGAATCAAAGGCAGTCTGAAGGCCAAATAGGTAGCAGTTGTCACCTGAAATATCCCAGGCACAGCTATATGTAATACATATATGGGGTGTTTTTCGCAGCACTGGTATCCAGTGTTGATGGGTGAAAAGGAACACATTACAGTGGGAACAAGAGCTTCATGTCATCTCTGGGTCACCTTAAATGTCCTCTAGTCATAGATAGCTCCGATCAAGGTTGCTTATCACAATGGCCATACTAATCCTAATATCTGTCTACTTTTAACCTCCCACCATATATGTACAATGTACTTGCATAGTGGTTATATATGGCTGAGTCCCACTAACCTATTTACAACTGACGGCAGACTGCAAAACTTTAAATCAGGCATTATGGGATGCATGCACAACAGTTATTTATTGTGTAAACAGTTTTTATGTAATTTCTATAAGAAACCAGTTTTTATAAACAACTGGGATCTTTGCACAGCGGTAAAATAAGAGGGAAATTTAACGATACACATCTAAAGCTACACAGATTTGTAGGTAATGGGCAGAACGTTAAGACATATTTACCGAGGATGTTTTGCAATTAAATTTAACCACTTTCTATGTCTACAAGGATATTGAATTAATTAGTGTTTTGTTTTTCTCTTTCACATACAAACATCTTTCAATTAACATAAAAAGGTATTATATATAATAGGCTTTGTAACCTAAGCCCACTTCATCACAGCAGTAAAAACACTGGGATTTACACAGGTGTAGTGTGTACGTCTGGTTATCAGTGTACCTGGTAAAGTAATCTTTTCTAAATAAACCCTATGTAAAGTGGAAGCCTGCACAAACCAGACATTCAAATCTGGTCTCACTACATTGCAATGTAAATGGAAACTTTGTAATCTGAGAACATTTGGTAATCCTTGGAGAAATTCTCAAGTCCTAGTCTGGTGTTTAGTTTCGACAGGCTTGTGTTAAACTGAGTAAGGTAGACTATTGCGTAAGGACAGACAGAATCTGTTGGTGAAATCTACCCCCATTTTCTATCTGATAAATCATGCAAATTAGGTCACGATCTCATTCCGTTCACTTAAAAGGTGGATAGCCTTTGTGCACTTACCGGGTATATACTTCATGAACTACCAATATGTTACATACAAGCAAGATAGGGTGGCAATTTTCCAGATGCCAGTGGTCAAAAGTTAATGACTAATAGAAACGCGACAGAATATTTGTGGCTTCCTTATGATTATACACACAAAGGTGCCCACTGCCCACCAATCCTTGTGACTAATACAAGGAACAAAGTATCTAATATACACAATCCTAGACAAAAGTTAGCGATACATCATCACATACGCTTACACTAAACATCCTTGCCTCAAACTCTTGGCAAAAAACGGAACTTTTTTTCAAACTTATGATGGTGGGCGATTGTTTTGAATCCCAACAATGTTTTCACTAGACCATGATGATGATGTAAAATCGTGTTTCAAAGCATGAAAAGATAAATACAGTTCTGTATGACTAAGTCCTGTGGTCGAACCTACCTATAAGCTACATACCACATGTACAGCGGGCATATTATATACCTGATATCAATAACTTCTGTCAACTCCCCTTATCCCAGTTATGTTCTCTCAGCATGATGCAAGTTTGACTCATATTCTTTCAAGATGTGGTAGATGTGGAAGCTCGAGGGGGCAATGAGAGATATTGAGTGGTGGGGTGGAAAGGGGGGATCTGAGGAGAAAGGAAGGGGCAGACAGTAAATGTATGATGCAGTAACTTCATACAGTTCCAGGGCCGACAAGATAATATACAACATTCCTGTCTTGCATGTGTTCACCATGTCCTGTATAGAAAACCTTACAGACTTGCTCAAGTCCTCAAACTTCACTATACCATGTCTACCAACTTTATCATAAAATTTACAAATGATGACACTATAAATTTAGAACTACATGATCAAAATACCTGGTATACTAACATTTGATGTCATTATCAATAATGTACTTTAGGGTAGAATCCTGAATGGGATCATTGAATACCTTACAAAAATATCATTAATATTTTTAATAAGATACATGTAAGATGAAAGCAATAAAAATTAGTGATTGCTAGATGTTGTACACCTCATTTTTTTACTGTAGATTATGTACACTCTCTTTATTATCATCGATAATGAACACTCTATTTATAACCATTGATTAATATAATACACACAATTAACTACCATTAACTATGGTCACTTGATTAATCACCTTTGCTGGACCACATTTTTTTCAGTTTATCTATATTAATGTTCTGGTTACATTACCGCAGGCTTTCAGATTGCACAGGTATTCAGATTGCACAGATTGTATCTGGATTAAGCAGATTTTTAAAATGACTATCTTTTTATTAATTGCATAAAACTAATTCCATACCAGCTGTGTACAAACTTAACCTATCGATGTTAAGAAATCAACATTAACAGAAGTCTGTTATGTTAACTAAGTAGAGCTGTATTAATTTTTAGGAGATGGATGACAATTAACATCCCATCGCCCTTAAATACGGTGTCATCCTGGTACAAAGGTGATGCCTTCATTATGTAAAAAAGACTAATGGTATCGGTAGATGTTAGAACACACGAGGTCTACATCAAGCTTAGAACTTAATGAGACAATCGATCTGTACAAAGCAGGAAATACCTGTCCCCATTACCCACGAGCCAATGTTCCTTAACCGGTGTGTCACCGATACAAGGACGGTAGCAAGGTCTACTGAAGCACTCGAGACAGATTACGTCATATATACCATCCATCATTCAGTTAGCTCATCAGGCTTTTGGCAGCTTGAATAGACATATGTTAACTGTGTGCTATGTTCATTCATATCTAATTTGAATGTTTAGTGACAGACAATTTATATTTCATATTGACATTTAGCATATAGAACCACTAACTGCATATTTATGACAAAGTTTATCACTGCTTGGTATTTGAAATGTACATGTACAAGCATATTGTAATAGATTTGTGAAAGATATGTCTGTCATTTTGTGTTGTTGTTTTTTAACTAGGAAAACAGATACATCATTTTCAAAATACACACTAATGAGTACTAAATATTGAACTCTTTCTGACTTTCAACTTCAGTATAAATATATCCACTGATCTCAAGAAGCTATATCCGAGACGCAGACAAACTTATGACAGCCAATTGCAAGCATCATTAAAAATCAGGCCTAACATCTCACATAAAGAAATTGAAAAAGAAAATCAACTAAATAAATTGTTGAGATCTTTTGAGTATATTGAAAATAATAAATCATGAAATTATTATGTTTATTCACTACCCTATGGTTGACAAATTGAATTTTTATGCGTTCAATTTTCAAACATTAAACAAGGATTTTACAACCAGCTGTATAGCATTTACAATATACTTCACAGTATCCATGTCCACACACTGATCAAGTGTTTATCCAACTTGTAATTTATGACTCATGATATTATATGTTGTTTTGTGTTAGAAATTTTACCTGGAAATATCTTGTTAAAATGTAAACATGATTTTTCATTAGAATCAAATCCTACTTGTACATTCACATCATGCTATGATAATGAAAGACATACAAAAGGAATCAAAAGGAAGAATTAAAGAAAGGAGAAGGGGATGATGTCATCATTGTCCGTACAACAACTAAGTACAAGGAGACCGAACGCCTCTAATAGATAATATATATCTGTCCTTAAATGATGAATATATGAATATAGATGAGGTTGGTGAATGGATCACAGGGTTGTCCCCGTGACATACGTCTTGTTAGACAATGTCTCATGTCAGATAAATGTGCGATAAATTATATATACATAATAAGCCCATGCCATATGTCAATCACTGGAGAAACTGCAGACAAAGCCAAAGATTTTACGTATTATCCAAGTTCACTTTGTACCTATATCGTAGCTAATTAACACACATTAAAATGTCAATTGCATCATTTAATCTGTTTTATATTTCCCCTTATTTACATGACTGAAGAACAAATTGACAAGTTGTAATTAAAATTTGACAAACAATGCAAGTGTAATGCATCACCTGTTATATAATTATTAAAGATATAATTGCAGTGTCGGTGCAATATTGTGTAAACGTACTTGTCACTGGGGGATTCAATTAATTAAGACTGCCTCGTAAAACATCCCCTTGAAGAGGAATGACAGCTTGTTGAAATTTTGACCTTAACTTCGTGTTTAAACTCAACGGTGTCACCGGGCCAGACATGCAGGATATGTATGATAGGTACATGTTCACTGAGTCAGAGAGATTTTGTAAAATTTCATCCTCGAATAGATGAAGTGTTCAATCACAAGCATGGTATGAATCACTTGTAATTCGTGAGATATTTTTTGCATTACTTTGCAAAGAAAGTCAATTGTAAATTCAAATACCTTGCAAATATTTATTAGGCCCAATTAAGCATTTGAACTGCTTTCATTTGGCATTCATAGGAAATATGAATGCCAGCTGGACAAAGGCAAATACAATGAGGTGTGTCGGTGCTTCAAAATGGATTTGACTTCTAGTACTTTTGAAGTATTAGATTACTGTATTGAAATCTTTATGTTCAATTAATACTTTCATACATGATGTATAATCAATACTTTGTGAGAGGTAAAAGTAAAAAACATTTTGCATCATTTTGCATCCATGTCTTTTTTAGACATTCACATTTGAATGCATACCACATTTTTATCATAAATTTTCCAAACAACATCCTAGAAAAATAAAAGTAAACCTGAGTATGATCACCAATACTCATCCCTGCTATCACTTTACTGTGCTGCAAATGTTAGCATTAAAATTTTGCAGCATTAATGAAAATTTTGCAACATATTGCAATATACAAAGCCGTTTTTATAAGACACCTACTTATTATGAAAAAGTATGCAATTATGTATGTTTCTAAAGATAATATGAATTCTACAAGACAATTGCATGGCTCAGTATGCAGATTTTAGGCCAAAGTTTTGCTATATCAAGGTAACAAGATTATATTACTTACGTCAGCAATGCCATTAATGTTCTCGACAACAGGAAGAAGACACGCCACTGGCTTGTTGGTGGCCACTTGTCGGATTTGGATACCGGACGGAATGTCTGACTCACTCAGGCATGGACGAACTGACCAGCACTCCACCACCGCTGACCGGTTACTGTTGACCAATCTGTGGAAATTCAGTCACCTCAACATCATTATCAGTCTTTATTTTATTTGGCATTTCAATAGAAGGGAAATTATTTTTATTTCAAATCATCAGTATCTATGTACCCTAGCTAGTATGAAATACATTTAGATTAACTATATCAAGTACAGATGTACCGGGGGTACCTGCCAATATTGTACTTTTATAATCTACCTGAAATTCTACATTTTTTACATGTGGCTACATCGATAAAGGTACAAATTGTACCATAGACTTCACCAACTCTGCCCTTTTTTCATGTGAACATGTGGCAATAATAATTTTGTTGTTTGTAACTGTGGCAACCTGGCAGCAGACTGATACAGCATCTACACTATAAACATTGACATGTATATTACAACTCTATGAGGATGGCTATGTTTAAAGCATTTTTAAGACAATTAATATACGTTAACAGTAGATAATATTTTTTTAATCTCCCTCATCCACCAATGATTATTTTGAGTCCCAACACTTGGAAGCTTTTGAAATAAATTTCATGATTTATTGATTTATTCTTTTTTTTTGGGAGTGGGGGTGGGGGGGGATAAGTTGGTGTGCCACAAATAACTTAATTTTATACACCTTTGTTTTCTCTACTGTTTGGGACCCACATCCTGTGCTATGATCGATACATCGTTGATGATAAAGCTGAAGCTATCTTTGTACGGAAGTTGATGAAAGCATATTGTTTCTTTCCACAATCTAGGACAGGTAAAGTAGAACACCAGATACTATTCAGAGGTAAGTTAGGTAACATTATTAAAGGTTGTAGGGGATGCACTATCACAATCCATATCAAAATGCATTCTAACAGCAACTTCCCCATAAATAAGTACTTCAGTATATTACTTGACCTATAGCTACTGGTTTTTATCCCAATTAGGAACGTTCAATGTACCTGTTATGTCACATGACTTCTGTGGAACTTTCTAAATGATACGGAACTGTTATTTTTGTTTTAAATTTTACATTTTTGTCACTGGAAATCTTTGAGCAAATTAATGTTTACACAAATCCAACAGGTGTGTGTATGTGGAATTGGATCAACTAAATGAAAAAAAGAAAAATAACCTAAAATGCTTCAAAGTAAGTTTTAATAAAAAAAAAAACATTCACTGCAAAATCATTGAAAATCAAGAAAATATAAAAATCATTTGAACATTGAATTATTTATTAGTTAAATTACCACACATTCCAAAGGAATGTATGCATGTCAATCTGAGAGTCGGGGATCGACACTAACACTAGTCCGCTAGTCCTGGACTAGTAGATCGCGTTGTTTCCTTAAGAAATCTTGGACTATTAACATTGACGAAAGACTAGTAAATAATCTATTCAACTAGTCCTGTGGACTACCAAGCAAAAACAGTTAGTGTCTAACCCTGAGAGTGTGTACACTGATCGAATAAGAAGCATTATATTTATAAAAGTAATTTACTCATGGTAACTCATGACTGGTGAGCTAAAATTGACAAATAATTACTTATAGTGCTAGTATTACTATCTTTGAAGTGCTGAATAGATAAAGAGGTTACACATTTATTAAAATATTTTACACAATATAGTGGTTTATATAATTTCTCCAATCCATAAATCTCCATTATAAACTCACCTTTGGTTAATACATATGTAGCTTCTGGCATTCTCTTCATCTGTTACCCTTTGTCGAGGCGGAAAGCTATCGCTATCCTTGAGGATGGACAGTATGGAACCAGCACTTCGGAACGGCTTCTCCATCGAGCAAGGTCGAAGCCAAAGCGATGGATTAGCCTTTGTCTCCCCCAACTGCTCCAGCCTCATTTTGACCGTCATGTGGTGGCCATAACCACCAAGATTGAAGTTAAGCCGAAAGTGGTGGTGGATTGTGGTGTTGATTGGAAGTGCCACGCCCACCCCACTGTTTTTAGCCAGTACAATACACTCCGTAACATTACCAACTTGTGTTGTAAGAGTCTCACTACTGAACACACCCATTCGCTTTGTCTTGTGCACAATGAGTCCGAAATTGAGGTTCACCCGGTCGCCGGGTGCGTACGAAAATGTCAGGATACTTTTGTCACCATCGCTTGGCTGCCATGTCCATTTCTTGCCATGGCGAACAAGCTGTCTTTCAAGACGCTCAGTTTTTGTTGTAAAATCTTCTTGATAGGAAAAAGATAACTTCACATCCAATAATTTAACCTTCTTCGGCACTTTGTTTCGATGGATCTCAAATTGCGTTATGCCGACCTTGAGTGATTTTGCGGATGCCTGCCGCAGCAGGTTGCTGTCGATCTGCTGTTGGACCATACCTTTATTGGCACCAACTCTCGGCATCACTAGAGTCGGTCAGGTTACACAAATACGTGTTATTGTTACTTCTTTTCTTCAATCACATCACTGTGGCTGAAAATACAACAAAAGATTTTCTTATTACTCATCGTTGAAACTTATAATAGCAGGACAAATCAAACCAGTTTGAAATTTAAACGCATTCGTTGAATATTACATGTGGAGCCTGAATAAACTGGCTTGTTGTCATAAGATGGCTAGATAACTGGGACATTATTGTAAAGAAAATGGACAACCTTTCCCTTAAATACTAGCTGAAAATAGTTAAATTGCAATAAGCTAATGAGTAGTTCCTGGACCAAACCAAGCTTTCTATTTCTGTATAGACAAGCGGACACTGAGTAGTGTGAACAATGACATTTCTTGAGAAAACAAAAGCAAAATTAAACAATAAAATGCAACAGCAACTAGTGCTTTGGAAATTGGTTTGCAAATTTGTTCTGCAAGGTTCTTGTGTACATTTAAATCAACTGTCCGTAGATCAGATAGATAACTATACAAAGTAAAATGATTCATAGTGTACACACGTAACATATACAACATCCATTTTTAGAAAACATAAAACTTAATTACCTGAAGAGAAGAGCAACAATCCAAAAAGATGTAAAATCCAACAAAGGAGAGATGAATGGTCAGGAAAAGTTCCCAATGGTTACAACAGTAATTAGCAGTATCCAATGGTATAAAAAAAAAGACACAGATCCAATAAGCACTGATTTCGTCCTAAAGGAGCTATGTAAACCCAGTGCTTTGAGACATTTAAAGGAAACCCTTTTTTTGAAATATCACAAAAAACACACAAATGGGACCCAAATGCAACAGTTACAATAGCTGTCCCAAAGCGTCCTTTCAGGAATTTCAATCAGCTGATGTTCTTATGCCCTGTTCCAAATATGCTGTTATATCAGGGCTTAGTGAGCGCCGGTCAGCCCTTGTCAAGTTATCTGGAACCAACAGGTCTGCTGGTACCAACACTCTCCAGAGGTGGCCGGGGCACTGATTCATCTACACCACAACCTATCATATATACTACCTTATACACATCAGGAAATGGGACCTGTAACAGGTACAGGGGTTAACGCACCGTGACGTGACGACGACATCACCGGTGACAACTGAACCGTGAACTCATTTATATACAGCTGCAGCAGACGGGTGTTTGTGTTCACATGCACTAAATACATATGTCTACCTATAATTACATGCATATGGGAGGTTTAAAAATAAGGTAAAAATACATCATTTGACATCAGCTATTTACTTGTATGACTAGCATAATTACATGTTAGAAATTAAATAACATTCATCATTACCATAAAAGAGACATTTAAATCCTTAATACAAAATTGTTGAATGTTTATACTGTAAAAACAAGTAGAACAACTTTTAATCAAAAACACCTAATGAGATACCTATGTGTATATATTTATATACACAGGGATTGATCATGAGCTATTGAAGATCAAGCCATGTCTATTCAGGGGTCAACACATCAGGGTCATCCATGACCATCCGGCCACCTTACCATAATAGCCTTATAATACCACTGCCCAAGGGCTGTCAACTCTACCTATTACTCAATATATCCACAAGGAAAACTTTGGTAAATTCTCTATGTAGGTTAAATATCACCATACTAAGTAGTTTGTGAGCTGACAAGCCTAACAAATTCTATACAATAACATACAGAGCTATTGTAGTATTGTTTAAGTTTCAATGCCTGTATATATATGGTGTTCCTAATTTATATAATATAATGTACAAGATAATGTGCATAATATTTTTTATTTATAAATATCATTTTTCTACATTTCTGGTGAAGAAAATTTCCTTTTCAATACCTTCCAAACAGAACACTTTCATTTGTTCAAAAATTTCTGTAAAACAAATAATGTTCATAAAACTGTATATAAAACAAGCATATTATTCCTGCAACATAACTTTTAAATTGATACACATGTACCAAGATTCAAGATATTTTTTATTACGCTCTGACACACAAAGTGTGTAACAAGAGGTCAAACAAAATAACATCAATCAAAATAAAACAAGACAGAGAGAGTAGATTACACATGGACAGATTAAGCAATATTTCATAGACAGATTCAGCAATATTTCAGAGATAGATTCAGCAATATTTCTTAGACAGATTCAGCAATATTTCTTAGATAGATTCTATCTACCAATGCTATAGCTTGCAGCCCTCATAGACCATGGCCATACACAATCATTTTAAGGCTTACCAAGAAACACAAGGAGCACCTGCATTGAATACAGGCTGACCATACCATATATCTTCACTTTAGATTAGTAGATAAGACAACACAATGGTAAAACATGAATCACAAAGTCTATCAAGATCAAAGATATACAGTGACAATATAAACTTACCTCACATAACAATCACCAACCCTGCCCATGTATAACCGCCAAAACAACACTACGGCCAACCTAAGTGGCTTCCCTATCTAAGATCTACTGGCCAGAGACAACTCAATAAACCTAGTAATATATCACACCTACCCTGTGTAAACACTCCAATGTCTGTCTGCCCCACCATTCCACCACATGTATGTTATGTAATCATTTGGCTGCAGCACACCATGGCCAACAACAAAAGGCTGCATGCATGTAACAACACAGACCATCTAAGCTATCTGGTACATTAGCAGCTTATATATCGATAGGAAACATGTATCTCTCTGCTTCTGTCACTAAGTATTATAGTGTAACACAATGTATTACATATGACAGGTATCTGTCTGCTTCTGTCACTAAGTATTATAGTGTAGCACAATTTCTTACATATGACATGTATCTCTCTGCTTCTGTCACTAAGTATTATAGTGTAACACAATGTATTAAATATGACATGTATCTCTCTGGCCCTGTCACTAAGTATTATAGTGTAACACAATGTCTTACATATGACATGTATCTCTCTGCTTCTGTCACTAAGTATTATAGTGTAACACAATGTATTAAATATGACATGTATCTCTCTGGCCCTGTCACTAAGTATTATAGTGTAACACATTAGTATTACATATTATGAATAATCTCTCAGCTTCTGTCAGTGTCACTAAGTATTATAGTGTAATAAACTAGTATTACATGACTTTACATCCCTCAGCTTCTGTCATCTAGTATTATAGTGCCATACACTAGTATTCCATATGACACATCCCTCAGCTTATGTCACTAAGCATACAACACATCCCTCAGCTCATGTCACTAAGCATACAACACATCCCTCAGCTCATGTCACTAAGTAGCATTGTGCCATATGTACACTAATATCACACTTAGTATTATACCTTTACATCATCTTAAACTATAACATATGACAAAATCAGACACATTCTGATGTCACTTAGTGTTATACCTGTATGTGTACCAGTACATTACACATGTATCCTAATAAAACACACCCTTTATGTCACAAAGTATATTACACCCCAATATATATATACATGTAGGTACAATATATATATACATGTAGGTACAATATATGTATACATGTATGTACAATATATGTATACATGTATACATGTAGGTACAATATATATATACATGTAGGTACAATATATGTATATACATGTAGGTACAATATATGTATACATGTAAGTACAATATATGTATACATGTAGGAACAATATATGTATACATGTAGGTACAATATATTTATACATGTAGGTACAATATATATATACATGTAGGCACAATATATATATACATGTAGGTACAATATATGTATAAATGTAGGTACAATATATATATACATGTATGTACAATATATATATACATGTAGGTACAATATATGTATAAATGTAGGTACAATATATATATACATGTATGTACAATATATGTATACATGTAAGTACAATATATGTATACATGTAGGTACAATATATGTATACATGTAGGTACAATATATATGTATGTGTGTATATATATGACAAACTATATACAGTTTAAAGGCAAAAGTTACTTACATATATATACACCTCAAGGCCTAAGTAACTGTCCATGGACACACTCAAGCTCCTGTACATTAGTGTTAATACTAGTCCTGTATTCAATATTTACTGCCAGCTGATGGAGTCAGACTGTAACAAGAATGTATATAGATTTTTAGTCACATTCAGTACAGTATCTCTGGTGCTCTCAATCATGATGGATCAATATTATAATCTGTGATAGAGTATTTATATACCCTGGATTACATTGATAAACTTGCTGTTATAATACTGAGATGAAAACTACAGGCATTAGCTGTTGGTTCACACTTACATGACCCTTAGTGTTGTACATAAATCTGGATTATGCGATTACATAACGTGATAACAAAAATTTGAAGGACACCTTCAGCTTATATGACCCGGGTTGATCCCCTTTGTCCAAAAGTTTGTTGTATACAAAACTAAGGATTATGATCAGACAGGCATGCTACCATGTCGTAAAGAACAACACTTGTACCAGCTTTAGGAGTCTGCTTTATGATCTCACATATACTTCATAATAGGTAAAGGTTACTGGCCAGTTCCAAATCTAAATACATTGTACACAAATTATACACAACAAAGACCACCAATACAAAATGTAGGTCTGTCTGCAGGTGACCAATGTTCAGTGTAAATACACATTTTAGCCAGTTTTTTTTTATTCTATTGGCAATCACTCTAATCATAACATTAATTTTCTCAAAACAATGAGTTTATTGATTTAATTTACAAATGCTAAGCATATCAATTCCTGACAACTTTCATATTAGTACTTCAGTAATTTGTTCTCACCATGGTATAAAAACAAACATTATCAATCATATCACCGTTATATATAAGTAAATAATCTGTAGATTCACAAAAAAAAGTTTTGTTTTACAGGGGTCAACATTCTATTAACAGCTAAAATCATTCAAGGATGCGCTTTCATATGTGTGATATATGCGTATGTAACAGGGTCGGTTTATTTAGGCATAATTTGCTCAATTAAAAGTATTCAAAATTAATATAATATATGTTTGAATATATTGTTTGTAATATGTTGTATTCATACTATATAGTATATATGTATTCATACATATTAATTCATGAATGACATATTTGTAATAATTTGTCCGTGTTTATATAATTCACGACGCAAGACGTAATGTCTTACATTTACGCTCTGCGCGGGATTTATTCGTGCGGGCACGGCGCTTTGTTTGTATGTATGTATTGTGGCGTTTGGTATGTGAGTTGTGGTCAGTGCTAGGTAAGACACGTGATGGACGTGACGGACTTTGACGAAGTTATTTGGTTGGTTGAAAGTTTGTGTTGTTAGTACTCATGTAGGTTTCTTGAAGCTTTCGGTCACTTTTTGAAATTGATTTGAAAGGAGAACAGGTCGAAAGATTCAGTTTGATATTAACAAATCTATTTTCGGTAAGTTGAAATGTCTATTTCAATTAGTTTGATTATATATTAACTTTATTCCCCGGTTTGTATCTTCCCGCGTGAATGGTTAAATAATATGTTTTAATGAAACGTTGATTTGATGATCGGTTTGGTACTAAATATATTATTCTGGAATGAAGGTTCGGGTATTTGTGATCCCATTATAAGTTATATATTTATTGTAAAAGTTAAGCGTTATGCATTTGTTGTGATACTTTACTCTATTACTCTATTGTATTTATTGTAGTTCGTACAGATTCATTATGTGAGATGATGACGATTTAGTCATTAGGATATGCGGTTTCTGCCTTGTGACGTTAATGCACGATGTGTTGTAAGTGTATTTATACTGCTTTTAAAGTGTATTTATATTGCATCTATAATGTATTGATAGTGTATAAATGTGATATTAAATTCATGTAATTGGAATTTCAAGATTTGAAGTATTGTAAACGTTTATGATAATGTATAAAGTAAAAAAACTATTTTGCTGAAGTCCTAGATGTTATTCTTATATATTTTAATTTTGCCTATCTCCCCCATAATATTTTTTTTTTGGTATATATCGTATATACATAAAAAGA